TTTCCCGTCAACCCATGTTCTACTTGAAACCAGAATGCGCGAAATCAGCGAAGTACACTCATTTGCAAACCCATTCGGTTTCGCGAGAGATTCACATGGAACCCAGCTGAACCTCTCGTTTGTGATGTTTGCAGGCAACAGAATGTGCTGCACCAGGCCGCCTCATGTTTTAGTTGCCAGGATATTCGCTACTCGCGCAGGGTTTTACGACTTTAGGTAACTTCGTCAAGGCGAACAGACAAACAAAAGACATCCACACGTTGCAAATCAGACAGCCACGCAGGTGTTTACGGCTGTGGTGATGACCTCTCAAAGGAAAGGGAAGAGTTTAACTAAGGGTGGCAACGTAAATGCGTTAAAAGAAATGAAAGGACCGGTAATACTGGGCAGACCAGGGGTACGGGTTTTGTCGGCTTGCGGCGATGACGTGACCAGACAAGACAGACAAACAGTCACCTCTTTTGTTCTAGATGTACGGTACAGTAAACAAACGTCCCAAGGCAAATAGCGAGTCCAAACGCCTGACACCAGTTTGCGGGTTGATCGGAGACAGCTGCAACGAACTGATGATGCACCGATTCACACGACACAAGATTCATCTTTGACGATCAGAAAATAAGTGCGCTACACGTGTGCCCCAACTGAGGATGTAACAGTTTTCTTCAAGACGGACACACTGGTAAATGGTTGAAATACGAAATGGCAAACTGGGATAGCAAAGGAGAATTCACAAGGCAAAGACAATTGACGAAAACAGTCCAATTTGGGTTCAAGTAGAACATAAGGTTGACGGAAACTCGGGGACTGCGCCTACCTGATGAGCCCCAAGAAGGGCGAAACCGGTCGTGGGCTGTCGAAGAGTTTTCAGCAACCTTGTGAGTAGTTTCATTTATGAACAATTGACGATGCTTTTAAAATCATCCGCATCGCAGTTGAATTTAAAAGACGGTACAGTCTGCTGAAATGGACAGGTGTACCGGGGAACGGCGACAAATGGGCGTGTATCTACGTCTAACAATAGCCGTTTATTAGTAATTGCCTTCAAGTCATTGTGGCCACATAGCATACGCAGTCGAATCTGAGGAACCTCAGTTAAGAAACCAGGGCTGTCAGGGAAAAGGCACCTAGATTCCCCGCAGGGAAACCAAATTCATCAAGGTGTACGTTTAACCTGAACAAAAAATCAGGAAAAATCCGGGAATTTCACATAATTAGCCATTCGATGCTCAAGATCGAACTTGTCCAGAATGGCATCTCTCTGTCTAGGAATCAGAGCATGAGACCATGGAGCCGTGTTTCGAGGTCCCACCCCCTTGTACAGTGGAGTCAGTAGCAAAACTGACGGTTACGCGAACAAGAACCCAATATTGAATGGTGGCGGCGAACCCGATAAGCTCCATTGTTCTAAGCACTTACAGTAAGTACTAGACGCTGTTTGCAATTCATCCAGGTCATCCAAACTCATTCAACCAAATATTCAAGTCGCCGTGGTGTTGGGGCTTTTTAGCAGCTTCCTTATGGGACATGGGTACGGGTGTAACGGTGATACTACTGATGGGGAGACACGCGAGTAGTATGTGTTGTTCGTAGAATTTCGCTTTGCGTCTATTGAAAATTCGTGGAGCCACTTTGTAACATTTGCTTGGATTTGACCGACGAATGAGTGGAGTTAGTGAATCTCCAGGAAAGTCCAAGAAGACTCGTTCGGGAGAAGATGGGTGTCCAGTTTTTGTAACAAAGATGCAAATTAGAGTTTTGCTTCCCTGTTCAATTGTCTGTAACCGGTCAGTTGGCATTTCCTAATAAATAACTCCGCAGCGAAGGTCTTCTTCCTTTCACGGCTATACGGCAATTCCCGCTGGCACAACCGACGAATGAGACCCAGCACACCGCCGTACATAGAGAGTTATGTCTGTCTATCCAAACCCAGGATGCAACAGAAACGACTAAAGATGGACGTCAAAGGAGGAGAGCATGAATGCGGTCAGCCACCCATCAAAAAGTACATACCGAATTTCGCGTCTCGGTAGAAACGTGGATTTGACGTGAAATTTTGATCAAATGGATAGGTAGCCACCGTGGGGGGAGGGACACCATGGAACACACAAAACAATGTGACATTTTGTCCCTCATCCACCAGTATTTGCTGAGACTTTGTGGAGCCGCCAGATTCCGATCGGTCTCCTGTTGAACTTGGAGCTAATGGCACGGCGATACGGGTTTCCACAACTCGCTCAGGATCTGTAAGGAAAACGGGGAGAAAAAATTAGGAACAGTCTTCAAAAGCGACACATCTAACATGCGGAAAACTAATGTAAACTACACAGTAACTGGTCATGATGAATTGTAAAAATTGTTGGCCCTGGAATGGACGAATACGGACGGGTGTGCTGTGAAAGATTGACCAATTCAATTCCAGTGAAAAAAGGCTTTAATTGACTTTGCAGCCTGAGCTTGTTAGAAAAAAATTTACCCCACAATGCACTCACTGGGGACAAGAAAAGCTCACTTCACACAGGATGCGTTCTAGCATTTTGTGAATAATCCAATAGAGTAATCCTCCAAATAGAAGCCACTTCACAGCGAGAATTCCTCATTGGATCTCTACAGGGTGTCCCTTGCTAATGAGTACATGACTTCCATTCTCGATTTCACCCTGTTCAACTAGAAAGTCTGCGAAGCCGACCACCCAAAAAAAGATACACAGAAAACTCTAAGTTTCAGGGGCCGCATGGGAATTCAGAACGAGATGACACGAACTATTGTGCGTGTCGCTTCGAATGTATTTGATGGCTAGCTGAACAACAGTCTCGAACTCAAAGCTGAAAAGACCTTGACATTAGTCGAGCTTTACTTCGTGTTTCAAAGAACGACTTTCGGAATAGCTTTCACCTTCCTCCTCCTTTTTCCAGCAGTAATCCGCTCTCCTCAGCATCTCATGAAATTAAAAATGCAGACTCTGTAGCGCGTGAGAAACAAGTTTCGTGTTTAGACTAATACACTAATCTGTACAGAAATTTAGTTTTGAAGGGGCAACTCACTCGGAACCCGACTGAATCCCTTGTTTATGATGTTCTTCAGTTGCGTTCCAGGTAAGTCTCTCGTCAAAACCAAACTGCTAAGCAGAGAATGTATTTGTCGAATTTCGAGCAATTTGGATTCAAGCAGAACATAAATTCAAGAAAATTCTGGGACCGCGTCTACATGATGATGAAGGATAAAATCGATCGTGGGCAGCCGAGGGGTTTTCAGTAACTTTAGAGTAGTGTGTTGTGTCTATACAAGTTTCATGTCCATTTTTGTAGTCGAGAGACGAATTCATTCAACATGTACTCTTTCTGTGCTCGCGGTCATTAAACCACCCCAACCAGATCATATTCAATATAATTCCATTATACCGATAATTGCTATAGCGGTAATATAGTGATTTCTCCAAAATTTCTCTGACGGCCCGGACATACCATTTTTACCTCGCTAACTGGCATCCGACACGTGGACCACCGTCTAAAACCTCCACAAAACACGCAGTTTAGTACTTTTTCCGGGTTCGGAATGAACATCCAACCGCTATAATGGATCCTTCGTGTTCTAACCAATAAACCGGAAGTGTGACAAAATTAGTGAATTTGCGGACGCTCCAGCCGTTCGCGCGCATGAATGCACAGGTTAAATCAAAGAGGTGAACGGGAACGTATCAAAGGACGACAGTACACAGATATGACACTCGTTCAGCTGTGGCACGCTTTCGGTGCCCAACTGTCATGCCACCCCAAAGAAGCACGAGGACTAAGGTACGGCCAGGTTGCCCAAGCCTAGACAGGGGAAGCCGAGAGGCAGAGATTGGGTTCGAACCACAGACCGTCCGCGCTCTAATCACTGAGCTATCTCGCTGCGATATGACACTAGGTATGAAAAACGCTGTACAACATCATTACCAAGTACCTTCCATTGGACTTGGCCACCGTAACTCAACCATTTAACGTTATTTCTCTCAGAGAAAGAATACTTTCACAACGTGAGTGAAAATCCCTGCTGAGATTTCAGTCGAGAGCCAGTGAATACATGATGTGGTTTCCATCACTGAAGGATAAGCGGTTCTATATCCTATCTACGCGAGAGTTAATCACACTGCTGATCAGGGACTCGTGCCAAACGGCTAACTGGCCAGAAGGTCTCTACCTCTCAACCTCACCTGTCTAGGCTTGGGCAACCTGGCAGTATCCCAGCCCTCATGCAACCTTCGGGTGGCATGGCAGCTAGGCACCGGAAGGGTGCTACAGCTGAACGACTGAACGAGTTTCGTGAGATGCGCATTGCTGATGATTCCCAAAAAGGATTAAACGGTGCTTCTTGGCTTTTCAGCATAAATTGGACTAACTGAAATACATATGAGGAATTTTTTCTCAAATTCAGTTGAGTTGACTAGCTTGCACCAGTTCACAGAAGTACACTTCGTGATTGCTCGATAAACATTGTTGCGTTGATGCTGCAGAGGATGTGCCAATAAGCGTGGTGGATGACTCTGATGAGCTTTCTCACTACCGAGCGGGCATATTGAAAAACCATAGCTCTGATTTAATGAAACGTGACTGGTTTGGTTGAAAATAGATAAAAAAAAGCGTTCAGCTGTAGCACCCTTCCGGTGCCTAGCTGCCATGCCACCCGAAGGTTGCACGAGGGCTGGGATACTGCCAGGTTGCCCAAGCCTAGACAGGGGAAGCTCGCCCCTTGGTTGAAAATGTGGCAAGTGAGACAGACTGAGATATGTTGTTTGAAGCGACTGACATCAACATGACGTAATCAGCTCAGCTCTGAAGTCTTTCGCGGCCGAACCTAAGACATGCAATGAAAAAAGCAGCTGATACCATGCTGAACTTCTTCGAAGGCTAGGATGTCGAGATCCGATAAGTGGATTGCCAAAATAGATTGCTACACTTACTTTTGAATGAGTTGCGTAAAAAAATACTTCGCATCAAACACTATCGGATATTGAAAACAGATTCCACTCCCATTACAGGATATTCGCCTCTCAACTCGGACAGTGAAGGTTTGTTACCTGGTTAGGGAAGGAACCTGCTAATTCGCCAACTTCGTGACGCTGACACTCACGGTTATCCACAGTTTTTTTCCTAAAATTAGCGAAGAGTGATGTTCACCTAGTAAACGACATACAACGAACGAAAGGTATAGTGTGATAGGGCTGCAATCACGTGAACGAGTCACGAAAACGGGGGTAGACGAGAGCCAGGTAAACCGCTCTACCGATAGCATCCACAGAGGAACGCGGTAACGCAACAAATAGTGGTTTGCGGGATCTGTCACCAAAGTGTGCCATCACATGGTCCTGAAATGTAGCTCAACCGATGGGAAATGTCAAGAGCAGTGGAACGGATATGTATACGCCGCGATCCCGTGTTCCAGTGAGCAACGCTTAAACAAATACGGCACTGGAAGAATGGTAACCGTATACCACGGACACGTCTACATTGATTGTTACGTAGGTTGGAATTCCATCCACATTTCAACAGACCTGCCAGTCTGACAAGCCACAATAAACAGTCGCTCCGGTGGTCAGTTCATACGTCACAATATGAGCGGCCTTTATCAGGTAGGGTGCTTCGGAACGGTGAGGTGGAAGAGTAAGCAGGATGGTACGAATTCTGAATATCGCATTCGGTAGAGACGGAACTGAGTGAACAAAGGATGGCAATGGAACCAGGCCGATTGTTTAAACTGTGCTAAAAGTCTGTAGGGTATGTCTCGAGAAGGCATGGTGGCAAGCAGCAGTATGTTCGAGAAAACGAGGAATGGACGGGACTGCCTTGTGCACCATCCATCCAAATTACGACCGTGTGTTATCTTAAACGAGGAGCATCTTGAATTTTTTGTAAGCAGAACAGAACATTTGCTGCGATCGGATCACGGAGAACAAGCAACGTGTACTGGCTTAAAATACCCATCCATGTAGTGGGTGGAATAGCGTATTGCCTGGGGCTACGATCTAGTGATGATATCAGAACTAGCCAGGTGGATCAATGTGATGATACTGGGGAGAATTGTGGAAACCAAAACAAGTTTCCAATGAACTGAACTGCGGCGGTTCAGCTGGTTTGAACAGTGCTGTTTTGCTGACAACAT